ATACAAATATCTCTTTGAGACTCTGCTTTCATTTCTTTTGGATATACAAGTATACCCAGAAGTGGGATTGCTGGATCACAGGTAGTTCTACTTTTAAGTTTTTGAGGAATGGCCATCCTGTTCTCCACAGCAGCTATACTATTGTACATTCCCAATAACAGTGCACCAGGGCTCTAATTTCTCTACATCCTCACCAACACTTGTTATTTTGTTTTATTAATAGTAGACATCCTAATGAGTGTGAGGTGATCTCTTATTGTGGTTTTGACTTGCATTTTGCTAACGAATGCAAATCATTAAGCATTTTCATTTGCTTGTTGGACATTTGTATATATTATTTGAAGAAATGTCTGTTCAAGTCCTTTGCCCATTTTTAAATCAGTTATTGGGGTTTTTTTGTTGCTGCTTAACAGTTCTATTTGCAGTCAGTGAATCAAGTCCTCATCCTCTCTTATTTATAATATTCCAACCAAGAGACGCCCCAAGGGACTCTCCTGCTTAGAAATACTAAGAATACAGAGAATTTGCTCTCAAGAAATCTTGAAGTAGGAAAGTAATTAAAAAGGCACCATTTTATAAACATCAGGTATCCATTGCTATTGGTTGTCCAGAACTCTTGGAGAAGTTGTGATATGTTTAAAGGCTTTCATGAAGATATAGTTTTGTTATTGTTGTTCTCATTCATTTCAGTTCACAACATTTACAGAGTGCCTACTGCATAGCAGGCATCATGCCATGGATATGTTAGAGTTAATAAAAAACACAAAAAAGTATCCTAACTCCTTGATCCAACACCCATCAGCTAGAGTCTGGGTGACCACTTTTGGATATATAGTTGATCCTTAAACAATGTGGGGTTAGGGGAGCCTACTTCCAGGTAGTGGAATATCCGCGCATAATTTTTGACTCCCTCAAAACTTAAACTATAGTCCGCTGGTATCTGCAGGAGGTAAATGGTTCCAGGACCCCCATGGATACTAAAATCCATGGATGCTCAAGTCCCTTATATAAAATGGCATAGAACAATGCACACAAAGAGCTCTCTGCATCGTGGATTTCCAACTGTGGATGGAAAATACTGTTTTCGATCCATGGTTGGTTGACTCTTCCAATGCAAAACCCGGAATTCAGAGGGCCAGCTGTATATTTATTGAAAAATAATCCGAGTAGTAGTGGACCTACACAATTCAAACCGGGTTGTTCAAGGGCCAACTGTATATATTTTTGAATGAGAAGTTTAAAAAGCTACAGATCTCTTCTGATCTCTTCTGCCAGATGGTCCCTGTCTGAATGAGGAAGCATACATTCTTAAGTAAATCTGATATTGGGGTTGGGTTTCTCAATTTCCCCAGGCTCCACCTAGGTGAAAAACACACCCTATCTAAAAATCTAGTTTCTTTAAGATTCTTGGTAAAGTTTGTTTTTGTTTTTTAAAAGATTTTTATTGCGGAATTGGGGGAGGGGAACAGAGTTGGGGAAGGGGAACAGACAAGTTACTGTCCTTTTGTTCTTCAGTCTAGTTATGGAGGACGCTGTTTCACTGGCCCATGTTGGTATTATGATCATTGTGCTCTTTTTGGCTGAGGCAGTTGGTCGCTGGCCATTGGATGGCCGCTCATGCTGGCTGCCAGCCACTCACGGTAGCTCATGGCAGCCCTTTGTAGCAGGGGCTGCAGCCTACACTATCACTGGCCACTCACAGCAGCCCAGCTCCAGGTCGAGCTATGGTTCACAATCTTAGCTGTAAAGGGCGCAGCGTCACTGGCCCATCTGGGATTGGAACCAGATGCTCAGAGCTCGTGCTCCCAAGCCAACTCTTAACAACTGAGCCACTCGGTCGGCCCAATTCTTGGTAAAGTTTTAGAGAGGCTCCTTACACAAGGCTATCACTTCTGTTTCTAAACAGAGGTTCATAGCTCATTTGGAAAAAAATTCATTCTGGTTGCAACTCGTCGAATCATATACAAAAATCTCAACCTGTCCTTAAAATGCACACAAGCTATCCACGGGATTTTCTACTATGGTGTACATCTTTTCCAGACAATCAGAGTCTCTGGTCCATAATACCTTCTTCTATTTTTGTGTCCCAAATCTGAGCCTAAACCCCCAAGAAGCCACTGCACACGAAAATATTCTTAACCTCTTGCCTGCATCACGGACAATGTATGCTCCCAGGGCTGAGGAGACAGCAGGTCTAAGCAAGAGGAAACTGAGACCCAGAAAGCGGAGTCATTTCCTCAATGTCATCCATAGTCACCAAGTCTCCAGACTGCATAGGGATTTCGATGCCACACTACGTTTTCCCCACTAATGTTCATTTTGTTAGATGCTTCTTGATGTTTATTTTCTTATTTATTGAACATGAAAATAATCACATTGCTGAAAATCCTGGTAATATTTGTTTGAATGTCTTAAATAAAAGGTTCTGTATTAATACAACTCTAGAGTTCAACTCAAGAAAAAGTTTTGCTAGATCTAGGACCAGGTGGCCAACTTCTAGAGAAAGTGCTTCTATCACCTCTGCATGACTCTTCAGACTTGAAAATAACGGCCTGTCTGGAGGAGGAAAAATCCCCTAGGCTCCTTCTCTTTAGGTCAGGCCCCCAGTCTAGAAAGTCCTCCTCCCCTTTCTCCTTGTGTGGTCTAGCACTTTGTTTTGTGTTAAGTAGGATTAAGGTGCTTTGGATTAAGACCTTGACATAAATACAAACACATCTACATCCAAACAACAACAACACAGAGTGACTTTCATGTAGAGTTCAAGGGAAAAGTTTAGGCAGAAGTGACCAAGACAATAACAAGCTTCGATACACTCTAGGAAGAGTATTAGCCCAGGTATGCCCCAGAATTGTGACACTTATTGCTATAGCACATCTGGAATCCTCTGGATGACTAACAATACAGTCTATTATTTCAGGATGGTTATAAAAATCTATTGGCCTCACACCAGGTGTAATGCGGGTGAGGCAGCAAACTTGGAAGAATTTTTGCTTTTGCATTTTCTGATTTAGGAATAGGAGAGGTGGGTGGGTGGGGATCTAAAATGTATTATGCCTATTAGTGAATCTGTATGTCCTTGGTCTAGTACTGATCTCTTGGGCAAAAGAGAAGCGGCCAAAAAATAACAATCTCACATGTTGAAAATGGAACCCATTCAAACTCTTGTTCAGGACCTCAAAAAAATCAATGAAACCATTTTCTTTTTGATAGCTAAATCAGGTTTCCTTGTATTGTATTTTATTGTATGGATCCATAAATTCATTAAAAATGTAGAGGGTCATTTTCTCTGATTCAAAAATTCTTGGTTTGGGGGTAACATGAGTGTGTGAAATCCTATCCTCTCTGTGGGCACTTAAGACCCAGGAACCACGTTCTAGAATTGAGCATTGCCCTGGTTCCATAAAACACAGTTTATAAACAAACAGACATTTGCTGGAGCACCTTAAACCAAGTCCAATGGTCATTCTAGTTTATAAACAAGCAAATCTGTATTGTCACATACAAATAAATTGACTATCAGCATAATTGTGCCATACAGCGTGTATATAGTCCAAGAGACTACTAAGAAAGAAGAAGATCATAAAACAAGGCGAAGGGAAGGCTGCTGCCTTCTAAGTGCAAAGCGGGCTGGGTAGGTGCCTGGGCATCTGTGGCGCTGCGACAGTTCACAGTTCCCCAGCGAAGTACGGAAGTGGAGGGAAGTTTTGGTGTATAAAGTACTGAGGGAAACACACTCACAACTGTGTCTGGAAACACCCAGGACATGCTAAAAGGAAATAATAAGGGATAAATCTAGAATAAGGACTGGAGAGGGTCAGTGTTAAGCTAAGGAATGAATGAATACAGCTGAGTTTCTCCATAATTTAGGGTTAAAGACTGGAGAGAAAGGAATCGTAGGAAACAACCCCATTGGGGAGAACTGGAGGTGTGATAACAGAGAAGTGTTAAGGGGTATTAGGGACAGTAAAAAAAAAAAAGTAAAAGGAAGGAGAGTAGGGGTGATGATTATTGAGCACTACTACTGGGAGGAGGGTCTTGCAGGGATAATAAAAGGGAGAAGGGTGGAAGTAAAGGTCAGGAATTATCGAGGTAAACTATGGGAAAAGACTGCAGGCGTCAGTAGCAAAGAAAAAGAGGAGCAGGGCTGGGGCGTGGCCCAGAAAGGGACTGGCTCAATAGCGGGCTACGGGGTGAAAAGAAGGGTGGGGAAGAGCTTGGCTGACAGCAGCTCTCAAATGGCGCCTACAGGGTTAAAGACCAGGGGAGGGGGAGAAGAGGCTGAACTCGGTTTCCAGGGTAACGGCTCCGACAGTTCCGGCAGCGCAGGCTCGTACCATTGCGCAGCGCGCGCGGGGGGACCGCGAGGGGAGGAGGGCCGCGCAAAGGAGCAGTCGAGCTGAGGGGTACGTCCCGGACGCTACCAACCGCGCCGCCCGCCTGCTCGCTCCGGGGTCCGCGCAGAGCCGCGCTCCGGCCGCCCGGCCGCCGCGTCCTCCGTGCCGGGCCGGCAGCCTCCAACTGCCAGCGGACGGCAGGGGGGAGGGAACTTGCGCTCAGTGGCCCAGAGTGGCCTCCTGGTCCCCCCGCCTGGGCGGCGGAGTGCGGGCGGCCCGGGCTGGGAGGTTTGAAAAGCGACGAGAGACAAAGGCAGCAGGAAGCTTCCTCGGCGCCGGGAGCCCGTGCGCGTAGCCCTTGGGGCCCCTCGCAGCCCGCCGGCCCGGAGCGGCGGCGGCGGCGGCGGCAGGAGGCGGAGGATGCGGCAGGGGGCGTGGGAGCGGCGGCGGCACGGGCGGAGCGGCGCGGCCCGAACGCGGCGTGGTTAGACCCCAGGCGGCGGCGCGGCGGCGGCGGCCCGGCAGTCCGGCAGTCTGGGGAGTGAGTGAGGGGCGTCCTCCCCGCCCGGGATGTGAGGACCGAGCGGAGCCCGGGGCGGGGGGAGGGAAGGGAAGGGAGGCGAAGCCGGCAGGAAGGAAGGAAGGACGGACGGACCAGGAGGAGGAGCGGCGGCGGCAGCCGGAGCCGGAAGGCGGGGAGGGGCCGTCCGTTGGGCCCGAGGCGGCGGCGGCGGCCAGGGCTAACCGCTCTCGTCGCCTCCTCCCCCCGGCGCCGCGGAGGGGGGAGGAGGAAGATGGAGACCCACATCTCGTGCTTGTTCCCCGAGCTGCTGGCCATGATTTTCGGCTACCTGGACGTCCGGGACAAGGGGCGCGCGGCGCAGGTGTGCACGGCCTGGCGGGACGCCGCCTACCACAAGTCGGTGTGGCGGGGGGTGGAGGCCAAGCTGCACCTGCGCCGGGCCAACCCGTCGCTGTTCCCCAGCCTGCAGGCCCGGGGCATCCGCCGGGTGCAGATCCTGAGCCTCCGCCGCAGCCTCAGCTACGTGATCCAGGGCATGGCCAACATCGAGAGCCTTAACCTGAGCGGCTGCTACAACCTCACCGACAACGGGCTGGGCCACGCGTTTGTGCAGGAGATCAGCTCGCTGCGCGCCCTCAACCTGAGCCTGTGCAAGCAGATCACCGACAGCAGCCTGGGCCGCATAGCCCAGTACCTCAAGGGCCTGGAGGTTCTGGAGCTGGGGGGCTGCAGCAACATCACCAACACCGGCCTCCTGCTCATCGCCTGGGGCTTGCAGCGCCTCAAGAGCCTTAATCTCCGTAGCTGCCGCCACCTCTCGGATGTGGGCATTGGGCACCTGGCCGGCATGACGCGCAGCGCGGCCGAGGGCTGCTTGGGCCTGGAACAGCTTACGCTGCAGGACTGCCAGAAGCTCACCGATCTGTCTCTAAAGCACATCTCCCGGGGGCTGACTGGACTGAGGCTCCTCAACCTCAGCTTCTGCGGAGGCATCTCGGACGCGGGGCTCCTGCACCTGTCGCACATGGGCAGCCTCCGCAGCCTTAACCTGCGTTCCTGCGACAACATCAGTGACACGGGCATCATGCATCTGGCCATGGGCAGCCTGCGCCTCTCGGGGCTGGATGTGTCGTTCTGTGACAAGGTGGGGGACCAGAGTCTGGCTTACATAGCGCAGGGGCTAGACGGCCTCAAGTCTCTCTCTCTCTGCTCCTGCCACATCAGCGATGATGGCATCAACCGCATGGTGCGGCAGATGCACGGGCTGCGCACGCTCAACATCGGACAGTGCGTACGAATTACGGACAAGGGCCTGGAGCTCATTGCCGAGCACCTAAGCCAGCTCACTGGCATAGACCTGTATGGCTGTACCCGAATCACCAAGCGCGGCCTGGAGCGCATCACGCAGCTGCCCTGCCTCAAGGTACTCAACCTGGGACTCTGGCAGATGACGGACAGTGAGAAGGTCAGGTGAGGGCGGCAGCACCAGCTCCCCTTGCCCAGCCCTGTTTGCCCCTTGCCCCGCCCTGCCCGTCCTCCTGTCAGCACCACGCCCCCCTCTCACTCCACACGCACACTTATAGGTACATCATTGCAGTGGATGAGATGGGGGCAGTGACGAAGCCTCAGGCTCATTTTCTCCCCACGACACGTCCATTCATTGTACTTGGGGTTCCTCTGCTACCCCTACCGAACTCCCCTCTCTTTTAGCCTGAGAATGGAGAGAGGAACTCAGCTACTTACCCACCCACTCCTCTACTGGGGGAGGTAGGGCTGATTGAGCTACTGTATCCCCATTGCGTTGCATTTCAAAATGAGGGTTGGGGTGGGGAGTAACTCGTCCTTTAGACCCTGGGGAGTTGAGGAAAATGTCTGCCTTCACTTAAGCTTTCATTTGAATACTGTGATCTGGTTTTTATTTTGAAATGTATGAAAGCAAACCCAACTACAACGGCCTTTTCACCCTTCTTACACTTTGTAACTAATCCCAGCCTGTTCTCATCACTTCTTTTTTTACGTACTCTTGTTATTCACGCTCATTTCATTTTTTTCTTTTTTCCTTTTTTTGTTTTTTGAAGAAATTTGAAATCATGGCCCTTTTTTTCTGCTGAATATATTCTATATATTATATATATATATATATAAATTCTATATATGTATATATATATATATATATATGTGTGTCTGGCTACCTCGTTTTAGTTTACTTTTTTCTCTGAAGCCCTGGAATTCTACAAGAGAGATATTTTGAAACTAAAACATTTTTGTGCCTAGACTGGAAAGATGCCCATTGGGTTTGTATGTGTTTTTTGCTTTGGCTTCTTCCCAAGCCCCATCCATCCAGTATGTCCCACTTCCACTTTCTGGCTATAATTTTCTTTTTTTCCCCTGTCTATTGGGATTTGAGGGCCCGATGATGTTCCTAAATCTTGACTTAATTTATAGCACAAATGTGTGGGAGAAAAGAGAGTTGGACTTTGTTTGTTTGAGATGTCTTGCAAATGATATTATATATGCAAATTCTGCCCTACCCTCACCCTCTTCCAAGTTTCCCCACAAAAAGGTCACACGGTGAGGCTTCCTGTTGGAAGCAGAGGAGCAGAGTTGGCCTACAGAGCCCCTGGGGCTGTAATGTGAAGGGGAGGACACTGAATTTCATGTCTTATCTCTGTTGTGTTAATAAAATGGGAGTTTGTGGATTTTAAATAATTCTGTTTCTAAATGAAATGGAGTAGATGACTTTATTTTGGTGGGGATTGGGACTTGTGGCTTTAAAAAAAATCGCTTTTGAGTAGGATGTATATTTTTGTTGGATTTTTTTTGTTTGTTTGTTTTTATTTTTTTAGAATCCTCCACAGCAACATGCGAAACCATGGAGTTAAAGAAACCCAGAGACCTTTATCAATTAATTATACTGTTTGTGAATTTGTATAAATAATAACAAAGATCCTCTTAAAACATTTATATTCTTACAGTAAAAGGTTAAACTGATATTTATATAATAAAAGAGGAAATATGAAGTATGTTTTTGAAAAAAAAACAAAAAACCTTGTATCTGTGAATTATTTTGAAGGCAGTGTGTGTTTGGGTACATGCTAAAGTCAGGTGCTGTCTGTGTGCTTTCAAGTAAAAGGAAATAAGGCATAGACTTCAGTGCGTCCTCTGTGCTATGAGTAAGCTCACGGTTAAACATTTATTCTGTATAAGGTTTACTACTGACATCTAAATGTTTTGTTTCTAGAAATGTGATTAGATTGAAGATTTATATAATTCTTGGTTTTCAATTGTCAACGACATGGAAATTTAAAGAAACTGAACAAAATGAAACTTTAAAAAAAAAAAAACAGATTTGTAAGAGTCACAATTTCCCCAGGGTGGCCAGTTTTTCTTTGGGTGGAAGTGACATCTAGGGGTAATGTTCAAAAAATGGGTCCTGAGATGTGGAAGTGGGATGAAAGATGGGTTTCTTTGCATTTTGAGTGGGTGTAGGAGGATGTGAAATGGTGTAGGGTGGAGGGAACTGAAGCCATTGTTCAGAAAAGTTGAAAGAGTGCTGTCCTTGCTCCCTGTTCGCTGGCTCAGTCATGCATACTGAATCTCACAGTGTGAGTGCGGGTCCTGTTGGAAAGGAGGAGGGTAGCTCAAGTCCTCTTTTTAACATTCTCCTCCAGGCCTGACTGTATTTAAGCTTTTTCCTGGGGGGTGGGGAGGTTGGCCAGGAGTTCTTGTCCATTTGCATTTTAAGCACTTCCAAAGCTGAGGATGAGGGTTCTTAGGCTGAATTCAGGGCAGATAAATGAATACCAACAATTCCAGCAAAGTGTTCCCTTTAGACAATAACTAAAAACCTGACACCCTGTGGTTGGGCTGTGGAAACGGAAGAGTATAACTGCTCCAACAGTGGAGTAATTCATATTTCTGGTTTCACACAGGTCTTTCTTAGCTGTCTGAGATTTTTTAAACAAAAAATACTGATCCCAGCAAGAGCTGATAAGAGTAGTATAAAACTTTCCTGTATCAGCACCTCTTTCCAGGAAGAGAGCTAGAACCTAGGTTTCTTTTGGGTAAGATTGTTTTGTAAAATTTCCAAGCTTTCTGCTTAAGCATATCACAAAAGCTGCATTGTTCGATTTTGGAGAGCCATCACAATTGGGTCTAATTGAGCCTGACACTAAATCCATCTTCCTTTTCTTTGGGGAAGGTATAGATCTTTCTTCCCTCTGAGGTTACAGTGCTTACAGCCTAGGGGGGGTGGGGAGGGGGTGGGGGTGGCGCACGAGTGTGAGCCCTTGTAAGAAGTAGGGACTTTGAATTAGGGTTAGCTTTCTAATTTAGCATTTGACACTACAATGCATGAAGGTTACACAAGCTATAGGTTCTCAGATTGTTTTTCTTCTTCCAAGAGACTGCTTGGCTGGCTGTACAGATTCAGTCAATAAAAATTTGAGCACTTCCTAAGACTCAGGCTCAGTGCTCACATTCTTCATTTTATATGCAAAATAATCCTACCAACTGTAACTGGAAGGGTTTTCTGTTTTGATTGGTTTTCACTTTAAAGGTTAGCTATAAGCTTGACTGAAGGTTGGTAAATTAATGTTTGAGAATTAAGATCATGGGCCTAGTATCCTCATCCTGAACTGGGTAAACTTAAGAATATATTTGGAGTGTCTCTGGAAAAGATGAATAAACCACTTTCATCAGTCAAGGTCAACTTCTTATCTCTCAGCCTCTTTGGATAGGAAGAAAGGAGTATGAGTTGAGAACCAATGGTATGTAGTATGGACTACATAGTACTTTGCATGGTATCTGTAAATTTCTCCTTTTAGTCCTCAAAGCAGCCTGCTGAAACAGGTATCCTGTTTTCCAGAGAAAGCATACTGCTCCCCAGAAGTACCCGGCCACTTGCGGAGGAGAGCCAAAACTCAAACCAGGCCCATTTCTAAAGTCCAGCTCCCTTCTGCTCTATGAGAAGGTTCGTTATTGATCATACCTTGGTTTCCAGTAAGATGACCTCACAGAACTGAGTGGTAGCTGTTTGAACGCAGTGTGGACAAGCTCGTGCTGCAGAGCGCTACTTTAAAGGGGACAGGCTCTCCACCATACCTACAAGAGTGGAAAGAAATGCTTTTAAAGAATAGAAGCACTAAAGAAAAGGTGTTGATACATATTTTGTGGGAGGTCCAAAAGTTAAAATTCACTTAAGGGCAATTTTTAGAATAACAGAAAAAGCCTGGTTCAGGTATTTGCTGGAACGTCAGAATTGAAAAGCCAAAATAGGAACTCTAAATTTTTATCATCAAGAAGTAATAAACCTCAAGAGAAACTGGGTAATAAGAAAGGGCTCCGCAAACCTTTCTTTTCTAAGTCTCATTGGGCAGTAGCTCAGTAAGCTCTGGACTGGAAAGATTATCTATAAATGCAACTGCGGGGTTCAGACAGTTTCTGCAGCCCTCAAAGGACCACGGTAGGCCTCTAGCTAAGATTGCTGGGCGTTGTTGCGTAATTCTCCCTGCTATGTACTCCTTTCTGCCGAATTCCTGAGTCCCAAAGCGTATGGGGCAGGAGAAGGGGGTGGAGGGGGACTGACGACTTGATTGATTCCACATTTGGCAATAGTGACAAGGATGCTTGCCTAACTTCTTATAGTACATCCTTAAGTAGTTAAGGAAACTCAAACTGATCTATTCTTTCATGATTCAAATTAACAAGTACTTTGCTGAAAAAGCAAAGTACTATGTATAATGGTCCTTTTATTGGAGTTTCTTTTTAAAGGTAAGAACTTTCTCTTCAATAAGGACATAGGATATGTAAATTAAAGCCTGGCCTGTCCCCCACAAATCCTGCTGCTTCCCTGCACTGGTTACTAGGCAGATGATGGTCTTGGGATAGCAGTAAAACCTTTCACTTTGGGCTTAGAGAATTTGAACTCAAGTTTTCAAAGGGGAAAGGGTAGTGGCTCCCAGGGACCTCTGTGTTACCAAAGAAAAAGAGACTCGAGTAAAAGATCAGATTTGTAAAACAAAACCAAGACCGCATGCGGCATCTGACAACATCTCTTCCCAGGCTGTGAAAGGAGCCCCTGGCCTCTGCTCTGGGCCACTCTGCTCTAGAAAGTGGTTGTAGTTAAGTCATCTCCTGGTCATCCTCTCTGTTGTCTTTCTCTTCCTGGCATCAGACACCCCTCCTTTTTAAAAGTTAATTCTAGCTTTTAGTGGAGGGCAAGACCTAAATTTCGTGCCACTGTGAACCGGTGGAGTCAGGGGTGAGGCTTTTTGATTAAATAATGTGTATCGTGGGAAAAGCACAGGATTAGAAATTGGAAAGCTGCATTCAAACCTAAGCTTATGCTTACACCACATATTTATCTCATTTTTGTCAATGGACTTGTTCAAATATTGGGTAGCAAGTTAAATTTTTCAAAAAGTGAATGTTGTCAAACAGAAGAGACAGTCACACCTGGATCATTGCCAACGATTAATAATTTAGAACTTATCAAAGATAAGTACACAGCATGTGTATATATACTCTCAAGTCTTGGATAGAAAAAGGGGATGACGACTGCTAAATGTCCACAAATGATCCGTTTCAGTCTTTTCCTCTTTTCCAGGGAGTGCTCTGATTTTGCCAGGAGACGTTGCCTGTACCAACCCAGCACATTTGCAATGTGTAAAGCCAAGTCTTCCAGTTAGGGTGCAAGAGAGTGTAAACGAGATCTTAACTATGCAGCACTAGAGGGGAGTATGTTTAGCACCCCCGAACTAAAACAGTAGCAGTGCACTCCTCTGCCTGCTATTTGTTAACCCACAAGTGTAGTTTTTTAAAAAAGACAAGTTTTTATTATCTCATTACCCTTTGACTTTGTTTGAAAGACAAAGGCCACATATTCTTGTAAGTTTGCTTTTATTTGTGAAAGTGGAAAGTACTCCCAATTACAAAGAAGAGAAGAATGGGGTCTCCTGCAGCAGCAAAGAAACCCAGGTGGGTCAGTGAGTTAGGGATGTGATGTAGCCGGGAGAATTCAGGCATCACACAGTGTTCAACTTGTCTGTCTCAAAATGTTTCTTTTCCCAAATTTGGCAGGTATTGTACATTTAATTTCATAAATGGGGAAAGAGGCTTGACGGGTGAACAGCTCCTGGGTCGGTGATAGACGAGTCAATATCAGAACCAAGGCTGCTCCAGGCTGAATGACCCCATCAGAGGGCAGTCAACATGCAGGCAGCGCTTTGATCTTTCCCTGAGACACTGCAAAGCCCCACCCTTGCTTCAGAAAAGTGGGAAAACAGAGCCTACTTTCTTTGGGAGTAAAAAAAATCCCAAATACTGAAAGTTATTACTATTTAACAAGCACTAAATTACACAAACGTATATTCAAGAAGCCAAGAAACTAAGTTGGTAAATAGGGTACCCAAGTAGCTAGTGGTGTCAAATCTGCCACACGTTGTCCTCAGAGGACTTGAGCTGGTTTCCAAAACACTGCTTTGTCACAAATAGTAATGTGAAGTACAAACGCTGGAAATGTGTGCTAACAGTAAAGTAGCCTCAAAGCTAAGAACTTACACACGGTTAAAATGTTTGCAAATGTCTGTCACACAATCCTTTTATAAAATAAAATCGAGTTGCCAGAACACTAGCCATTTTCATTCAAGGATAAAAAGGCTTGACCTCACAGATGTTTTACTTATAAATTCCTCTTGTTTAGAAAGAATAAAAGGGTCTAATTTGTTAATATCAGGCACCTTCTTATGTTTATTACTCCTCAATTTATGTAATCCACACTCTAGTAGGGTCAGGCCTAGCACACAGCTAGCTGTCTGTCAGTAATTACAAGGCATCATGGAATCCAAATTACTGGAATTAGACTGTGGGAAAACAGATCTTTAAGACTGGATTAAATTCTTTTTAATAAATAGTGTGAAATTAATATGGCCTGGAAATCACTGTTTTCCTCATCTAAAAAGAATGAAAATGTACTAGCAACACCCATAATTCTAATTCTCCTTGGGAAAGCTTTACCTCACACTGGCATTTTTATGTACACATTTTGTATAGGAATAGCTGCCTGCTTCCAGTTTGCTTTTTGAGAAGCGGTCCATAAATAGGGAGGAACCAGAAAAATTAGTCCTGATATTCTTCAGAAAATCACCACGGCTAGAACTGGATAGATGGGTAAAATAAGGGAAAAATTACAATAGTTAAGCCCCTCAAATTTTTAATGTTCTTAGGTGGAACACAATGTCATTCATACCTTCCATTTTTACTTCAGCGTTTTAGGCCTTAGCTTCATATTGTAGCTCAAAAGCCCATTGCTGTGAACTGCCAAAAATAAAAAAGGACCAGTAGGTGTGTCTTAAGCAAACAATATGAAAATGACAAAATTAAATGTCAATTTCCAGCTAGTTCATTTCAGATACACAAAACTTGGACAGTCTTTCAGGAATCTGTAAAGCCAGTATGGCCTGGTCCTGTGGTCTCCCGGCTGGAGGAAGCAGAGGTGGCCTTCACATTTTCTGAGTTGCTCTCCCAACCCTGGCAGACATCTGTGCATTAGAGCCAGATGCCCTGCCATTGTGCTTCGAGTCAAATGGCCACAATCAGAACAGTGTGACCCAAAGGACGGCAGCTGGCCTGTCCTTTTCCCACATATTCGGGTCTAATTTTCAATGGAATCACAAGAGGAACTGCAGAAATGCACTACAGTAAGCACGACAGAGGACTTAAATGCCAATAGCCCCATCACCGCTTGCTTTAGAAATAAAAACGTTTATATGCAAGTTAGGAGATAGAGGTCAAGCACTATACTTTATTGAAAGGTGGGGTGGAAAATAACTTTTGTCTCCCTCTGGTTGTTCCTTGACCTCCCCTGTGCCCCCAAGAAACAAAAACCTCTTACCCACTCACACACAGTTCACCCTCCCCAGATGGGATGTAGCTATGTACCGTGCCCACAGCAGTATTAGAGCTGGACGTCCGACCTTGTGTTTTTCTTTATCCCAAGGTTATTAAGATGATTTTAAGATCCACTATAAGGAGCAAAATGTACGGTTAATGCAAAACTATTTGTTTCCCAAAGTGGAAAGATGAAATTTGTTCACAAAGTATGCAAACCCTATGTTTTGTCAGCAGGCGGCAGCATTGTCTGTGAGTTGGCATCTATTTCCAGCAGGGAACCCTGACCTCCTCCCCTCTTACAAATGCCCTCTGGCCACCTCGCGTCCTCTTCCCTCGTCCCCTTCCTCCCTCCCCCCAACACACACCCAAAAAAAGAATTTCCCCAGGGTATAAGAGTTGACAAAGAGGAATTTCATGTTGCCAAAAAAGATGAAATGGAATTTTAAAATATCAGTGAAACTACTCAAAGCAGCCTAGGTGCTGAGCACTTTGGTTTTGGAGCAAGTTAAAAGATGCGACCTCCCCATAGCTAGTCACTTGGCTTTGGAAGGCTGTGGGAATGAAACATCAGCTTCTCATTTTTCTTCAAGACCATCTCATACAAATACTGTTAGGCTGTCCTATTTGGGAAGTATGAGAGAACAAATGGGGAAAATTTTACCATCATACATGGAGCTATTTATTTTAACAGTAAAAGCAAAAGTGCTATCTTTTTATTTAAAAAAATAGTGTATTGTCTGTGATGAAAAATTCTAGAGATCCTTTGAGAGGAAAAACAAAAATATTTTTTAAATTATTATTTTAAAATTTGAGCTCTTTATTACCCAGATGAAGACATCTTCATAAAATCTGAAGGAGTCCATGAAACTGAAAAATGAGGGCTCTGGTAGAGAACTAAGCTTGCTCACATACTAAACTCCTCCTATGGAAAACTGACATTAGGAAAAGGTAGCAGAAATTAAAACAAAGAGAACTTCTGAGCCAATGAGGCCAGATTCTATAAAATGCCACAATGAAGGACAGACAGGTTGCGGGCAGGCGAGGCCTCCAGGCTCTTGCCATCTTCCATTTGTCCGGGAATCACAGCATGGGTCCGAAGGGCAGTTGGTGCAAACATGGAATAAAAATGTGGAAGAAGGAAGGTGGAAATGCCCTGCAGCTACCCCTTCCAAGCTGTGTTAGCTGGATGAGGCCCAGCTCATGAGCTTGGT